CTGAAAGAAAACATATTTTTGTTTTAAAATTCTTGTATTCCTGATATTTTCTACAAGCCTCAGTGATTCCTGAATGTCAGTATTTTGCTGCTATTTTTTTGTAGCAAGGTTGTTGTCCTTTTGCAATGCCTTGGATAGAATCTCCTCCTCTTTTATTGTCAAATATTCTTTTAAACTCTGAACTCCTGGGAGAAGTCCCTATGCAACCACATGGTGTAACAATGACTGCCCTTTTCTTCCCCTCCAGGACCATTTATGATTGTATTGTTAGCATTTTATTTTTGACAGCCTCCCATCATTCTGGAGCTATCATTCATTTTATTGCTCTGGCAATAAAATAGAACCTATATTTTTTATGAACTTTATTAAATTTATATCCCTAAAGTTCATGGATGTGGTATTCATGGTATTTTTTTAATCATGTGCACCTATGAGTAAAAGCAATTTATGTCTCCCTCAGTGTATCAAATATGTCTTTTAAATTGTGTACATGTACTCCGATAATAATAACAGACCTTAATAATTTTCATACATATAAATGCTATCTATACACACATATACACATATACATATGCATGCATAGACAGACCTGTGTGTATTATGCAGAAATTCATGTATTATGTATTTTGTAAGATATACAAAAAAATAGAAATAAAAAGGATGCATGAAAAAATAGAGCTATTATTGGATCTAGCTCAGCTAGTTATCCTGTGCCAAAATATTTTGAAACATTATTTAAAATTTTTGGATCCCTATGAAGGCCTGCTGTACCCAGGTTTGGCAGGGGATTGAATTTAAAGGAAGTTTGATGAGCTTTGTGGTTTATAAAACTGTAAGAAGTGCTGATCAAAGAATTGAAGCTTTGGAAACTTCAAGTGCTACTCCTAATGGTCATCATTAAACTGCTTCACTGTGGACTTCATATCAAATCGAATCTCTCAACAGCTCTGTGTTTCATCAGCTGTATCAAGGAAGTTTTTGTGCACAGTGAAGTCATAAGTTGTGGTGGTACAGCTCCAAATGACATTTCTTTGTTCCTGTTAGATTCTTCTAGCTCAGACCTGTGTGTCCATCACGTGGTTGGCATTTACTCACTGATATTGTACCACATTATTTAGGATGGAATTAAAGTCTGAATGAGCTCTAATTTTGTAAAACCTAAACAATTAATTTTACTCGTAGGTAAATATAACAAATAGCCAAACTTTTAGTTGGGGATTAGAATCTAGCATTTACCTGGTAAATCTACTACTGTTTAATATGCATTTGGTAATGCATATTAAACTGTCTTAGTTTTCTAGAGCTTCCACAGCAAGATGCCACAAATTAGGTGTCTTAAAGCAGTAGAAATTTTTTCCTCTCACAGTTCCAGAGGCCAGTGCCTGAAAGCAAGGTGTCAGTGGTGCCACGCATCCACGAGCTCAAGACAGGAAGCTGTCTCGTGTCCTTCAGCTTCTTGCCATGTCTGGCAATTCTTGGTGTTTCTTGGAGCTACATCACTCCCGTCTCTGCCTCTGTCTTCACAGGGCCTTCTTTTCTGTGCTTCTCTGTGTGTCCTCTCCTCTTCTTGTAAGGACACCAGTCATGGATCTGGGGCCCATCCTAATCCAGTATGACCTCATCTCTTACCCTTTCTGTGATTCCAATAAGATTTGAGCCTATTCTAAAGAGCACATTGTCCCTATGCCTAATTCCCCTCCACTCTATCTTCAAGTATCACAAAAGCAGTGAACTACAGAGTATAAGTATCTTAGAAGAAAAATTTTAAAACTAAAAAAGTTCAATTTTTGAACATTAAACAATTAAATGAGTTGCATAGAATCCAAGGACATATCTTAACAGATTGTTTTTTTAAAAGTGTGACTGTATTTTCCTCTTTTTTTAGTTGGGCCCTAGTCAAATCTAGAACTTGCATTAATGGTTTCATAGGATCTGACTATTGGCAATTATGGGCTAAGAATGGGAATGGAGGACTTTATGTTACTTGCTAATTTTTGAAATTTAAAAAGAAGCCTAGTAATAAAGGAGATTTGTATAAAAATAATTTGTAATATTTTTACATCAAAGATTTAAATATTAAAGATGAGAAAAGAAGTAATAAAATTATCAATTTAATACTTTGTAGGTGAAGAATTTTGTAATTTTGTAGACACTCTGGAACACATTTGAATACCAACTGTTAGGAACCTTAAATATGTTTATATAATTTAACCTGGTAAGACCACCTCTAAGATTTTATCCCAAGAAAATGATTGTAGATAAAATATAAAGATGCATTACCAGAATATCCTTTACAGCATTTCAGTTGAAAAAATTAGAATTTTACTTTTACAAGAAATAATATGTTATTATAAAATATGAATATCCAACAGTGGGTAATTATTAAATAAACAGTGCTTATATCCATTCAATGCCACTGAAAAATTTTTAAGAATTATCTTATTATATAGGATAAATTCTTTCTTATGTTAAAAAGAAAGAAACAATACTTAAACATCATTTTGGTAAATACTTACATTTATAAATACATAGGAAAAAACGAAGGGATATAGTCTATTATGTTAGTTGTGAGAATCTTGGTCTAGTGGCATTATGGAATATTTTCTTTATATTTTCTCCTCTTTTTCAGCTTTTCTACACTGAATATGTAATACTTTTATAATCAGGAGAAATATATGTACTATTAAGAATGACTAATAAAACTCCTACAAACACGAATTGTTCTGATCAGTCATCAAGGATATGTCTCATTACTTATTCTTATCAGCCTGTTCCTCTCACTGTAATTACATGAGCCTTCTTCTGGGGCCTCTTAAAATCAATCACATCTGTTAGCTGTTCTGCATCAGTGTGAGATATAGCTCAGCCAATCCTTCCATGATTAGGATCATTTTGGTACTTCAATGAAGACCCATAAAGCATCTCTGTTGCTTAAAGCCATTTTCTGTCATTGATGTTGGTAAAGCTCACTCCCCCACACATATACAAAAGTGCTTTGATCAAACAGAAGTACCATTACCTTTGTAAATTTTAAATCAAGAAATTATAACTATCAAACTCTTCTAATGAATAAAGAAAGCTTTTGATTGCCTCTATCAACATTAATAACATCAAGTAAACAAACATGGACATATATAAGATGCCACACACATTCTTATGAAGGAAGTGTACTTAAAAGATGCTATCTCTCTATGTGAATAGCTAAGTGCCTGGTGAGAGGACATGTTTTTCTTTGTGAAGAAAGAGCTGTGACATTCAGATCACACCACTGGTGAACCAAACAGGCTTCAAATCTGGGAGTATCCTCGTTTTAAAGAATCCATTCTTTAGGTAAGAAATGCTCCCATTCATTTCATGTGTATAAAATCTCAATTGCCCCTACAACAAGGTAAAGAGATTCAGAATAATTCCAACTTTCCCTAAGAAAAGTGTTGCTAGTGCTTCCTCTCTAAGGAGACTTGGGCTCTGATGTGGATTTGGATGTTTTATGACCCATCTAACAATGCAGTACATCCCAAACTGATGCCTAAAGAGTCTTAGAGGGTCCTGTGAAGTAAATCCCCATCCCAGCTGAGCTATAATGAGCTGTGTGACCTCAGGCTAAGTCACTTTCTTTCTCTGGCACTCTGTTCTCAATTGCCAATAATGGAATTTAAAGATGATCCCTTTCGACTTTCATTCGCTAAGGAATGACTTATTCCAATAAACCTAAATCATGAGCCCATTTACTTTACGTTCTTGAGGCTTATCTGACATGGAGGTCATGTAAGTGAAGGCACACCTCTCATTAGGAGCTATGCAGAATTTTGTACAATACAAAGAGCTTGCCATAATGAGATGGGCCCAGCAAATGTTTCTGAGGAAAAAAACCTCCTTTTCTTATACTTCCCAATATAAGCCAATCAAAAATCCACATATGAAATCAACTACACAAATAAAAACTATTAAATATTTGCTACTCTTGCATTTGGGGTAAAAATTTGGAGTTCATAACCCACTTCAATCTAATGTATGAAATATGATATGTCAAGAGCTTTGTAATGTTGTGAACAACCAATAAAAAAAATTATAAAAAAAAATATTTGCTACTCTTGATTTGCTTACTAAAAAGAGACTTTTCCCTCGTATTATAATGTCTCCTCAAGGCTTTAGGTCTTGATAGTATTGAAAAGTTTGAAGAGAAGACAAAACTCAGGAAACCAAACCAAGAATTCTTTGGCAGAGATGAGAAAACAGTATTTTGATCTTGGAGGTGTTTTTGACCTCATACAAGGAAGAAAAAAAAAAAACAGGTAAAGCTACAATGCTATTAGTTATGTGCAAGTTGTCACCCATGATATGACTCTGAAAGCCATTGCCCATGAGAGGTATGGATCTCTAGTTCTGAAGAAAGACAGGAGTCCTTTCTCCCATCCTTATTAACAGGATGTTGCTAAAGAAAGCCAGGGGCACAGATCTGGGGTTAAGAGAAAACAGGCTGATTATTCTTTAGCATGCTGACTCATGAGACAAATTATTTAACCTGCCTAAGCCTCCGTGTTCTCATCTATAAAGTGGGATGAAAACACATATGTTGCTGGAATATTGTGAGAATTTACATAACATGTCCAGGTACTTAACAGTTCATGTAACTGGTGTGCAAAAAACGCTCGTTTCCTTTCTTTCTCCCTTTCTTTCTGTTCTCTGCTCTCCAACTCTCTCGGTAAGGTAAATAGATGATGACTTGTTGTTCATTCCAAATATAATCATTTGGATTTTTTAAAAGAATAAGACTATTTGGAGAGTTTTAGAAAATTCACCTGTAAAAGAAAAGCATCCCATAAATTAGTAACTTTTGAGTCCCACCTCCATTTGGTCATCCAAGAACAAGGCTTGTACCAGAAAACCACCTGGAGACAAACCTGGCAAGGGCCAAACCCTGGTTTGCATAAAGGCACAAACAACAAGGTCTGAGGGAGGGCTTGTTGGAAGTCAAGTGATGATGTAAGATGGTCAAGCCCCCCAGTCACGTGTGACAGGCTATGGAAGGAGGGGCAGATGACTTTCCTTTTTCTTTTCCTCCCAGTCAGCCACAACATTAATTAAGCAGAGGAGAGGGGTTAAACAGGTGATTCTCCTGTAAAGTCCAGATTCTATTTCTTTACTGGGCTCTTTCCTGGTGTCTGGGCTTCAGCATCCTAGTGGAGATGTCAAATAAATGACAGAATATTTAAAGAATTTGGCATAGAATGGATGCTCAACTAAGTGTTTGATAATGGAATGCCCTTTTTCCATCTCCCATTTCAACTTTAACTTCCTGTTGCAATAAATGAGGTGTGTGTGTGTGTGTGTGTGTGTGTGTGTGTGTGTGTGTGTGTATTGGGAAGAAGAGTAAAATAAGTGATGTTACCCATAGGAATTATTAGGAAAGTAGCACCTAAGTACATTACTTTTTTTCAACTTGCTTTCTGTTCTGCCCATTTTTAGGACATCATTGGACCCTACTGAAAAACAAAAGCAGAAGACTCATTTTTTTTTCTTTTGGTTGATCCCCAATACTATCTGAGCATCAGTGACATAATAAAAATATCTCAAGATCAACAAATTAATGAGTTACTAAAAATTAACATTCACCATTGCACAAAATATAAAAGTTTTTCTTCTATACCTTGGGTGGGGGGCGCTTTATTTTGAATACTAAGTAAAGCATTTGAAAATAAAAAAAGATCTAACTGTTGTTTCTAAAATTGTACAAGAGAACAAAACCACTTCAACAGAAAGGGAAAGCTCTCAGGTAATTGGATTTTAGACCTCAGTCAGGCCCCAATGGTCTGTCACAGGATCTGGGGTCACATTGTGCTAGGCAGCAGGAGTGTACCACTGACTGGGTCTGGGACAGTTGCTGCCTCTAGGAAGCTAACTCTGTAATGGGAGGAAATTGGACACCAAATGGTTAACTGTCCAATTGAGGATATCATCACAATTGCAGCAAGTGACATGAAGAAGAGGTAGAAGGTGCTTGTAAAGTGTTACTGGGAGTCCCAGAGCAGAGTTCATCCGTAAACTCCGCCAGTATCCCAAACCCAGGAACAGCGGATGCAGCCTTGGAACACCAGAAGGAAACTAGTGTCTCTTTTAAAGGAAGCAGAGGCACACAGCTTCCCATGGGGACTTGAAATCCTACATCAGTAAGAACCCTGGGTGGACCCCCCTTTTATGCTACCTGGTTAACTCCATTATTTGACTGTGACCCCCCCACTCATACTTTATGTACAAGCCATTGTTCACAGTCCAGTCTGTGATAATGATAGGGCATAGATAGATGTGAGTGTTGGGAACATAGATTAAGAAAATAATTCTCTAAAATGGGCCCACTGTGTTGATCCCCACATGCTTTCACTTTTAAAAAGAAATTGACCTGTAGCCCTGCATGACTTAAGTCCACAGGATGTGTTACATTCCTTAGCAAACTACAAGGTGTCTGCAGGAGAAATGTTGGCCCAAAATAATGTCAATAAGACCACAAGTTACCCTGAAGGGCAGACTTTTGTGACCCTTACACAGATCAGATCACAGACCTCAGGGAGATAAGAATAATTCCCCCTGACCATAAACTCTGAAAAAAACGGGTTCCAATTAGAATCTGCCAGCATGGGCCAAAGTGACCTAGAATGGTCATGGCAGTGGGGATTTGAAAGTCTGATGTCATACTGCTGTCACTCAAATAATCAAAAAGTGGACCTGAGCGGGACTCTGGAAACTTTGCTGGGACCCACAATGAAATTGGGGAGACATGTTGTCCTTTTCCTCTCTGAGAAGACCCACTCTTTCCTCTAAGAGTGCTCCTTTTCCCCTTTTCCCTTCCTATAAACTCATGCCTGTTGCTCTGAGCAGCATATCTGAAATCTTTCTGACCTGATTGCAAGAATTGGGCTTTGAAGTGGGGCAGGGGCTCTGTGCTGACTCAGTTTTATGGAAGGCCCCAGCCCTGTAACAGTAACAGTGTTACAGAATGAGTGCTGGGTGACCATTTGATGAATGAGTGAATCCTATGTAGCCCCACAGAGCTTATCATAGGTCCTAAATAAATAGGCTTATGATCAAACTGCCATAGTCAAAGATCATTTGTCTTCCATACCAGCATCACAAACCAATCCTCTATTATGTTCACAGCTTTGCACAGAACAGTTGATCCTTCTTTCCCCAAATACTAAATTCTCTTGCTGTACTCAACTTCAATATGTCTTAAATTCCTCCTTTTTCCCCCAACGAATTTATTAGGCCTTTATCATGTGTCAGGCTCTGTTCTCAGTCCTGGAGAATAACAGAGAATGAGGTAGGAACAAGCTCCCTAATTTTGTGTTTCAAGAGAGTCTCGTAGCAGACATCAAAACAGTAACCAAATAAGAAAATAAGTTTTCTGAAAAAGGTAAACATAATGATATCTACCTGATTGCAAGCCTTCCTATAAAACAATAGTACTCAAGACCCTGCTTATATTCATAAACATCAGGCATATGCATCAAGAGCATAGAGGTCAGAAGCAGATCCTAATGCAGATAGTCGATTGATGTTTGGCAAAGTTGCAAAGAGAATTCAATAGAATTCAGTGAAAATCTTCCAAAAATGATGCAAAAATCATTGATACCAGTATACAATTTAGAGAGGAACTTGCATATCTCATAATATCTATAAACATTGGCTTTAAAGAGATCCTAGGTTGAAACTAAAAATATAAAACTTCTAGAAGAAAACATCAGAGAAAATCTTTGTGGCCTCAATTTAGATGAGGATTCCTTAACTATGATCCCCAAAACTCTATGGAAAAGGGTAAAGAGATAAATTAGTTTTGATGGAATATAATTAATAACTTATAATCAAAATTGAGAAATTATAATATTTGAAAGACACATGAAAAGAATGAGAGTACAAGTTACACACTGGATGAAACTATTGTAAATCACAAATCTGAAAAAAAAATTATGACCCAAATGTAAAAAGAACATGTGATGGAACACTTTCCCAAGAAGAAGAAAACAACTTAATGATTAAAAGGGAAGAGGATGAAAGATTTGGACAAATATTGCACAAAATAAAAATGACATAATAGTAAATAAGCACATGAACAGATGCTCAGGCCTATTAATCATTGTGCAAATGCAAGTTAAAACCACAATGAGATGCATTACATACCTATTAGAATGGCTAACAGTCTCTAAAAATCTGTCAATATAAAGTGCTGGTGAAGATATGGAGCTTCTGGAATTCTGGTACAGCCACTTTGGAAACACTTTGACAGTTTCTTATGTAAATATTTACCATATGACCAAGGAATCTCACACCTAGGTCTTACAAAGGTGGAATAAAAACTTACCTTCACACTAAACACTGTATTTGAAATTTTGTGACAATTTTATTTGTAATCACCAAAAACTGGAAACAACTGAAATAACTTCTATATGGAGAATGTTTGTAGAAGATTTGTGTGATGGAATAACACAATAAAAAGAAATGAAGAACTGATATTATAACAATATATATTCATTTCAAATATATTGTTCTCAGTGAAGGAAGCCAGATTCAAAAGACTCCATACTATCTGATTCCATTTATATGTAATTCTGAAAAAAGAAGTGGTGGCATCAAAATAGAGACTTGTAAGGAAAGAGGAGATGTGCATGAAGAGACTTCTAGGAAAGAACAGTAAGAAAAAGAGCCTAAGGTAAAAGAGCCCATTGACTAGCAAATATAAGTCATAGTTTATCTTTTGCTATAAACCTATAGAAAAGAAAAAAGTTCTTTTATTTATTTATATATAACATCGGAATGCATTACAATTCTTATTATACATATAGAACACAATTTTTCATATTTTGGTTGTATACATAGTATATTCACACCAATTCAGGTCTTCATACCTGTACTTTGAATAATAATGACCATCACATTTCACCACCATTAATTACCCCTTGCTCCCCCCTTCCCCTCCTACACCTCTGCCCTATCTAGAGTTGGTCTATTCCTCTGATGCTCCCTCTCCCTATCCCACTATGAATCAGCCTCCTTATATCAAAGAAAACATTCAGCATTTGTTTTTTTGAGATTGGCTAACTTCACTTAGCATTATCTTCTCTAACTCCATCCATTTATCTGCAAATGCCATGATTTTATTCTCTTTTATTGCTTAATAATACTCCATTGTGTGTGTGTGTGTGTGTGTGTGTGTGTGTGTGTGTGTATATATATATATATATATATGCCACATTTTTTATCCATTCATCTATTGAAGGGCATCTAGGTTGGTTTCACAGTTTAGCTATTGTGAATTTTGCTGCTATTAACATTGATGTGGCTGTGTCCCTGTAGTATGCTGTTGTTAATTCCTTTGGGTATAGACTGAGGAGAAGGATAGGTGGGTCAAATGATGGTTCCATTCTCAATTTTCTAATAAACCTCCATACTGCTTTCCATATTGGCTGCACCAGTTTGCAGTCCCACCAGCAGTGTATGAGTGTACCTTTTCTCCCACATCCTCGCCAACACTTATTGTTGTTTGTATGCATAATAGCTGCCACTCTGACTAGAGTGAGATGAAATCTTAGAGTGGTTTTGTGCCGCAGTCTGGCTGGGCACAAATAACCGGGAGGTCGAGCCACTTGTAGATTCAAGCAAGAACGAACTTTATTTTCGAACTCACGCAAACACCACCCACATGACCCTCCAGGAACTCCGCGCAAGCTCAACCAGAACTCAACCAACCCATGCGAACTCTCTAGGAACTCCGAGAGAGCTCAACTGGAACTCAACAGGAACTCCAAGAGAACTCAAAAATAGCGGGCACCAGAGGCAGCAGGAACCGCCCCTTCTGGCAAAATGCCAGGCACCATCTTGACCTGGCCATGGCTCTCAACAGTTTTGATTTGCAATTCTCTAATTGCTAGTGATGATGAACATTTTTTCATGTTTGTTGATTGATTGTATATCATCTTCTGAGAAGTGTCTCTTCGGGTCCTTGGCCAATTTATTGATTGGGTTATTTGTTTTCCGGTGTCTAGCTTTTTAAGTTCTTTATATACCCTAATGATATATCTGATGTGTGAGGGGTAAAGATTTGCTCCCAAGATGTAGGCTCTTTATTCACCTCACAGATTGTTTCTTTTGCTGAGAAGAAACTTTTTAGTTTGACTCCATCCCATTTATTGATTGTTGATTTTAATTCTTGTGCCTCAGGAGTCTTATTAAGAAAGTTGGGGCCTAATTCTTCATGATGGAGATTAGGGCCTACTTTTTCTTCTATTAGACTCAGGGTCTCTGCTTTTATTCCTAAATCCTTGATCCATTTTGAGTTGTTTTGTGCATGGTGAGAGATAGGGGTTTAATTTCATTTTGTTGCATATGTATTTCCGGCACCAAGAGAAATGAAGAGGCTATCTTTTCTCCAATGCATGTTCTTGGCACCTTTGTCTAACATAAGATAACTGTAGTTTTGTGGGTTAGTTTCTGTGTCCTCTATTCTGTACCACTGGTCCACCAGTCTGATGTGGTGCCAATACCATTCTGTTTTTGTTACTATTGCTCTGCAGTATAGTTTAAGGTCTGGTATAG